AAGGATAAGACCTGGAGGGACAACAAACTGAAGTAGTACAGTGGTTCTGTCTTGTATCTGGAAGATGTTGGCATTTTCTGGAAGGAGAACTTGGACAACATTGTAGGTGGAGGTGTCCATATTCTGTAATTGATTCTAATATATAATATTTCAGAGCAGCCCGGCAGAACAGATATTTTTGGTGAGACAGTGAAGAGCAGTGACATGCAAAGAAATAATAACTAAAATAACAGGTTCAGAGCTGCACTCTCGTCTTCAGTGATGAGGATCATTTTCAGTCCAAAATATGCAGTTTAATTACACCGGTGATTTATGAAACAATAGTCTGTCAACACCCTTGCCAGTGCCTGCTGGGATTGGCTCCAACTCCCTCCAATCCGCAATCATGAAAAGGTTATGGTGGCAGGAGAATGAACAAATTTAAACCAAGAAACATTTTTACTCTGATGTTAACTGTAGACTGATGAGCTGCTCGTGAACTCTGGGCTCTACATGTTCATGCTGGTCATTGAGCTGGTATTTAAAATGAAATCTTCTTCCGCATTGTGTGTAAGTGTCAGTGAAAAGGCGGTGGAATTATCGTATACACGGTGTGCGTCATTCTGTCTGTGCGTTAAAATATTTACTTTGATAAATTATGCAAATGAATGACCTTGTTAACAAGTTCATTTTGACCCATGTTATCTATGTACCTCTCTGCAGAGAGCATACATGATGAAATCTTGTTCCACGTTTTAGGACAAGTCTTAACAAAAAAGTAATAACTGTCATGCCTCCACCAATCAGCGCTGGAACACTTCCATAAACAACAAACCAGACTGACTGTTACAACTGACCTTATTACACAACGTTACCAAAGTCACGTATTGAACTGCTTGCTGAAATAAATACTGTATTTACACGAAAACCCACTCTTAACAGGAATAATAAATAGTGATGTTTACATATATATTATATTAGTACATTTAAATGAAGAAAAACAATTTACACTATATAACTATACTATATATACATACAGTATATCTGTACATGGTGTAAATATAAAATAGAAATAATACATATATAAATATGTAAATATATAATTTACCATACATTTACACTATATATACATTTGTAAAAAATATATGTATATATAGTATAAATATATATAATTTACCGTATATATTTACATTATATGTAAATATATATCATGCATATATATGCAGTGTAAAATTATTTTTCTTAAACAATTTTACCGTATATATTTACACTATATGTAAATATATATTGTGCAAATATATGCAGTGTAAAATTATTTTTCTTAAAAAAAAACATGTTTACACAGACAGTACACATCATTTCACTGTGCATTGTATATATATATATATATAGTGTATATATTCAAATTATTTACAGCGAATGTAACAGAGCTGAAACTCTGTTTTAGACAACACGAAGTCCTGCACAAATGAACACAGTCCTTGAGTTTTAGACAACACTCCTGTCCTGCACAAATGAACACAGTCCTTGACTCGCCGCTGACTCCCACGACTTTCTTGTTGTGGTGACTTTGGAAGTCGTACCACCGACAGCTGCTCTGGGCAGGATGAAAGACTGTGGAGGATGTGTAATGGAGAGATTGGGCCGACCAAACAACAGAGGAAACATTCTTGGAAGCAGAAAACCGCAAGGAGTTTGTAACAAGTGTCAAAAGAAAGTAGCTGTTGAGCCGGGGTTGAGTCTGATAGTATTGAAAAGTAACAGCAGATTAAAACACCCGAAGGAAAGTGGAATAGAAAGATACTGTTCAGATTGAACGTGTGAAAACAGGAGTTTAGAAGCTGACAGGTGGTGAGCAAAGAAACACAAAGAGATACTATAGTGAATGTAACACAGCTGAAAGTCTCAAAGGTGGCATTATGTTGTTTTTTGTACGGCGCACACTAGTGGTGGGAACGATACATCTTGGAATGCCTATTTCTCTGTTTTCAGTCCCAAATAAGTGTTAAATTTAGATATAGAAATAGATGATATTTTTATCATTTAAATACATTTTGTACTATTGAATACATTTCTTGGTCACATGGAGGGGGCTGTAGCCAATCCCAGCAGTCTTTGGGAAGAACAGAAAGAACAGAACAGGCACAGAACCAGCCAACCATCAATGATCGAACATCATTTAAAGTGTGGCAAACAGTTAGAATCACTTACCTTAGGCTTTTACCTCATACAACTGACATCTGAGTCTACGAATGAGACAGAAACACACGTGTAGGATCAGAACAGTAATGTAAAAGGCTGTACAGAAATATATTTGTGTTGTGAATAAAGATGTGGACACTAAAGTAACCCGTAAACTCAATGACACTATCTGTAAAATGTCCTGTAAAACTTGTCAAGCAATTAATCAGCAAATCCTGGTTAGTGATTTTAAAAGTCAGTGTATTTATCCTGAAACCTCAAATACGCCGATGACACTGTCTTGTTTTGCATCAATAACCAAACAAGTAATTTAAACGCTACGCTTTTCATCCACTTACGGTAGTATTAGCCTTTGTTATCTGAAACCAACTTCAGTATTTTTTTCCCTATACATTTAATGGTCTTAAGGGAGGGAGGCTTTGGGGTAAAATTATGAACACAAAAAAGTTGGTACATGCTCTGAAAATGTTCTAATGTGGTAATGAACTAAAGCTTCATTAAATGAACTCTTCTATCATTTCCAAAACCTAAAAATATATTAAATACTTTTTACATTTACATACGTTTAATTAATGTATTTTTTTTTTAATGAATCCTTACAGAGAGTACTATAATACTGACGATGTCCTCCATGTACACGTAACGATTATCAAACAGAGGAGAATCTACAAATCCTTGGACTTGGAACAAACAGTTCATGTACCCTTCATCAGCGGTCCATAACCTTTTTGCGCAACGGACCGGTTGAATGTCTGAAAGTCTTTTCACGGACCAACCTTTATTAAAATGATACCACCGGCATAAAAACGGCTATTTTCTAAATATAATAATAAACACCGAGTATGCTCTAACTTAATTAGCAGCGTCCTCGTAGCATCGCGCTTGTCTTTTAACGCAGAACGCGAAGTCTTCATTGCCTCATTAGAGAGCCGATCGCCGCGTATTAGGCAGCGCGGGCTCGGTGCGTGGGAACAACCTGTCGCAATAAATCCATATTTAGTAGGTAGGAATCCTGGAGTTGTCTGTTAAATGCAGCTTTCCTAATCTTTGAAGACGTAGGCTCTTCTTCTGTCTCCTCATTGGCTCTCTTAACTTGCGCAATTAAATTTTGCAAAGACGTTTGTTCTTTTGTTTATTTTGCTAGCTTGTTGGTTTCAATTTAGCGGTAAAGTATTATGTGTTGTTGGCCGGAACAGGTACCGGACGTAGGTAAGACATGTGACCGAGGCAAGCATCTTGACATGTATCAAGTTAGTCATAGACAGATGCGGCGGAGAGAATCCGGTAATTGTTCAAAATAAAATATCGTTAACGATCAGCTAATAAATAAAACGGAAATGATTAAATAAATTATGCGTTCTTTCTGTGCGAGCGTATAACTGTTGATCCACGGACAGGTGGTGGTCCGCGGCCCGGGGGTTGGGAACCACTGCTCTACATTACACACAGGCCAAGGACACATAAAACGCCTTCAATAAGATGGTGCTGTTGAAATGTCTCTCTTGTCTCTTGTGTTTGTATAATAAAGAAAACTGGTGAAATTGAGGACAAACCACAGCTGAGTGATGGCAGCTGACATGTCCACCACTCTGATTCCACCATAATCACACAGGCAGCTTTCCAAGCAGCTGCTGCCCTTTGTTAAAGCGTTCATCCGTTAATTCAGTGTCGACGACAGCCGTGGTCAAATTTAATCCTAATCCACTTGGATCTTGTTTGGCCTGTAAGTGGCGGCGGGGTCTGTCCAAGACACTTGGCTCTACTGAGTACCAGTGTGTACTCTGAGTGTGTGTAGCTGCAGGGACGGGACTTTAAATAATGACATTACAGACACTGGAACATGTGCTGCTGTGAACTCAGAGAAACAAGTTCCAGGCGTTGAAATCTGAGGGGATGAAGAACAGGTAGTGTGATCTGGTAAGGATGCTTCAAGAGGATTCCGGAATAAGTCTTCATTCTCTTCTGTTGTTATGACATTTTTCTTACTTGTTTGTACTAAAAATAATAATAATAACAACATGATGACACTATCTGTGTTGTGTCTCGGTCTAAATTATTATTTTATTATGTAACATTATGACAGGAACTGTTCAGTATCAGGTTGGAAATTCAAGGACAAACTTTATTACAGTATCTTTTTCTCTGACAGAAAACAGCAAAGGATCATGGGATGTGGCCTGGGAAAATCCAAACAGCAGATGCAAAAATGTGACAAAGGTGCAGCTCTCCCTAAAATCACTCAACTCTGTTTTAGCATTAGCATTAAAATAATACAATAATAATCAATTATCTTGATCTGTGTCTGTCAACGTTACAGTCAACCTCTCTGTTCCAGGTAATTTATCTGTTTACATCCCATTACACACAATATACACAAGCTGTGTTTTGATCAAAATCATCTCAATTCAAATGAACTCATTTTCATGCACTGCCTGAAGCGTCCATAGGTGAGTGTTCTAACCTAGAGTTAGCGTAGTGAAGTGGTACGAGGTACGTCCAAAAAGTTCTAAGACTGATGTTATAATTTAAATATATGTCGGAATTAAAAAAAAACAAACATAAAAAACAAAACATGCTAAAAAGAAATATGGGGTTTTGACCGACCCTGATGGTTGCATTTAACTAAAAACTCTTATCTTAAAACGTATCTTTCAGCCATCAGAGCAGCGGTGCTGATCCAGCGGTGGTACCGTCGGTACGTGGCCCGTCTGGAAATCAGACGCAGGTGCACGTGGAATATCTTCCAGTCCATTGAATATGCAGGACAGCAAGATCAGATTAAGGTCAGGGTTACCATAGTAACATGGTAACTTACAATATTCCATCTTTATTAGTTAAACAGGAAAAGTTAACATCAGTTTATGTCATTTAAACCGAATGTCAACAAAGATCATATGGCAGATATAAACTGATGGGGATTTTCCACCTTAGCTCAAGTTAATTAATGTTAACTCCAACCCTGACCCTGAACCCCTAATCCAGTCCTTCTCAAATAGTGGGGCGGGACCCCCTGAGGGGGCACGATGAGGTGGCCCGAGGGGCTTCCAATGGAATATGGCACGCTGGACATAAGTGTATACCACTGCTGTAATGCTGGAATGATAAAAAGCCTCCAGTCACTAGGGGGCAGCAACTCAAACAGTGGTTTGTACAGATAAAAATCTACATGTTATCAGGTTCTCAATAGTATTTCAATTTGCAGGAGTGTGGGCTGGGGAGCAGGGGTTGAAAACATTTCTGTCCACAAGGGGGGGCATGACAGAAAATAATTAAGAACCACTGCCCTAATCCAAGCCCTAACCTCCTAATTCTAAGCCATAACCCCCTAAACCCTTAGCCCCGTTTGGCTTTTTAGTCCGGCCCATCACACTTCCAAATGATATAACCCCCTAAACCCTTAGGCCCGTTTGGCTTTTCAGTCCGGCCCATCACACTTCCAAATGATGTCTGCCTTTTCCCTGTAATGCTTGCATTTCCCTTTACCATTTTAGACTTTATGCATCACTTTTACATGTCATTAATCTTTGTAAAAAAAACAAAAAAAAACACCTAACAGTTACTGTAACCCTAACCACTAAGCAGTGATCATCAACTGGAAGCCATTCCAAAACGAACAACAGATAATAATGTCAGATAAAAATGTGATTTTTTTCAATAAAAATTCTGGCTCTCCAATAGTATAAAATCAGTGTTGACCCCTGCCCTAACCCCTAACCTCTAACCTCTAACCCTGTGAACATTCTCTTCATCCACACACTACCTTCAGTATTTGTTCTTTGCCTCCTGCAGCTCTACAACTTCTTTGTTTTCCTGATGCAACACTTCACACCAGCCAGCAGTGAAAGTAAGGCTGCAGAGGTCATTAAGGTTTGATCTCAGTTCACTGAGTTCACTGCTCACCCAGGAGAACTTTTCTTTTCCTCCCGTCTTCTGCTCCGCTCCAGGAAACCTTATCTCACACATCTTTCATGACGACCCGCGGCACGGTGCGCAGCTGGAGACGTTCCATTGTTATGAGAGCATAGAGGTATCCAACAGCTACACCGGCCCACGGCTGACCTTTCCTCTGACCTTCTGTGGAGTTTCAAAGCTGGTGGAGACCTTCAAGCACAGACAGGTAGGTGCACTGGCACAAACGGTGAAGCACATTCCTGGAAGGAAATGAAACCAAAAGAGACCAATTCTTTTGGTTGATTGTATTCACACCTTTTCTCCCAGTAGAAGCTCCACGCTCGATACGTCCTGCAGCTTCTCGGCGAGACCGCCAAACTTTTAAGAATTCTTGCAAACATCAATCACGTCTCAACTTCTTACACAAAGGAGATCACCATATGTGGTATAAAACAAAGTTTTCTAGGAAAGGTTGTATTTTAACAGTCTCAAAAAGAACATGTTTTTTGTTTCCATTCAGGAGATTTGCACGGCCACCTAGAGGACCTGCTGTTAATTTTCTACAAGGTATTGACGAAGTATCACCACGCAGCCAAAAAGTGATGTGTTAATTAACGTCTCATAATTAATGGGTGTAGAACGGCCTGCCGTCCGGTGAGAAACCCTATGTTTTCAACGGCGACTTTGTGGATCGCGGTAAAAACTCCTTAGAGATCCTGCTCATCCTCTTTGGCTTCCTGCTCGTTTATCCCCATGACGTTCATCTGAACAGGGGGAACCACGAGGACCACATCGTTAACCTGAGGTGACGGCTTAAATGTTGCTTTTTTATTTTTTTTACATGAACTCCTTAGTTCCTTGTTGTATCTGTTGCCTTAGACCTGATTCAACTGAATGTTTCCACCAGATACGGTTTCACAAAAGAAGTTCTGGGAAAATACAGGGTAGGCCACGTGTGTGTGTCACTCAGAGATTATTTATAAAATATGGACATCAGCATCCAGTGGGGAATTAATGGCCCATTTTGAGCTGGTAATATGACCTGAAACAGTTCAAAAAGGTTTCTGATTAATCACTGATTAAGTGATTAAAACCAACATGACAAAATAAAAAAAAAAATCATTATTTTTCAGTACACTATAACAAACAGCCAATAACAGTGCTTATCACTATTGGTTCCTGAAGACCTGTTACTATTTTATAAGAAAGCTTGGTGATTTTTTACTTGTGTGGGGCATTGTGGGTGCATCAATCCGGTTTGGGGTATAGAAGGTGCGAGGTCAAAAAAAAGTTTTGGAACCAGATTTTCGTTTAAAATAATCATGTGCATGCTAACCTCAGTTGGGCCACATAAAATGATGTGGTGGGCTGGGTTAAGCCCGCAGGCCTCGAGTTTGACATCTATGTAATAGAGCTTCCAAAAACACACTCAGCAAAAACCTCATCTGTAAAAATGCTACTATTTTAGGTCGTTACAATAACAACCATCTGGATCGCTATGTCCAGTTTTTATAAAGAGTCGATGGCAGTTGTAAACTGTAAATCATCACCGTTTTCGTCTGGTTCTACAGGTGCACGGCAAGAAGATCCTCAAACTTCTCAAGAAGATCTTCTGCTGGTTGCCCCTGGCCACAGTGATTGATCACAAAGTGCTGGTTGTGCACGGAGGGATTTCTGACGCCACGGACCTGGACACGATAGCTCGAGTAGACAGACACAAAGTAAGACAAGGTCGCTAGCAGCGCTAAAAATGAGTGCAAATGAGTTTTTTTTTTTTAAAAAAAAGTGTGTTCTGGTCTGTGCTGATGGATGTTCACAGTACGTCTCAGCCCTCAGGCCACCGAGCAGGACTAAGATAAAGAACAGGAGTGACGTAACGGCGGATGGACCGGTGACCCGTCGACGTCGAGTCTGTTCTCTGACTCATGACCGCTGCGTCCCGCCTCAGAGGTACGAGCTACAGTGCCGCTCACTGCAAAACCTGCCAACGAGCAGTTGGACAGAGGAAGAGGAGATGAGGAGACGTGGGGTGACCGGTGCAGAACCACGGTGGTCTTACTCAGACCTGGACCCAGATGTGCACGACTGGAAACAGGTAAGAAATGTCGTTTTCAAATAAATTTGAAAAGAAAAAACCAAAACAATAAAAAAATTGCATAATTCATTCCTTCACTCAGATAGTGGACATGTTATGGAGTGACCCTATGCCCCAAAATGGCTGCATTCACAACGAAGTGCGAGGCGGAGGCTGTTACTGGGGACCAGATGTGACGGAGGAAGTGCTGGGAAGACACGGCCTGCAGCTCCTCATTCGATCCCATGAGTGCAAACAGGACGGCTACGAGTTCTGCCACAACCGCAGGGTGAATATCCTCAGTAGATATTACTCAAAAATGTAACTAACTTAACATATGGTTCTAAACATAAGGCTCGCAGCCCCAAACTGGTCCAGCCGAGGGGTTAATTCAGTCCACGGGAGAACTTTAGAAACTGTGTAATCAAACAAAAAAAATAAAAAATAAAAATATAAAAAAGTATTATTATAATTGTTTTTATTATTATGGATAAAAGTTTGTAAATTTTAAATAATTTTAGAATTACATATGCATAAATAGTTATATATCTTCTTTGTTTTAAAACAAATAGAATGACTGAGCTGCTGTAACTGTCAACCTCTGCTCTGCCTCGTGTTCAGGTGCTGACCATCTTTTCAGCCTCCAACTACTACGAAGTGGGCAGCAACAGAGGAGCCTACATCAAACTGGGCCCAGATCTGGTCCCGCATGTTGTCCAGTATCAGGCCAGCCAAACGTGCCGAGAGCTCTCTCTGAGACAGAGGTAAAGGAAAAAAAGAAGAAAAAAAAGAAGAGGAGCGACGGTCACTCAGTGGTCACTCAGACTGGTTTAGATAAAAAAACAGCAACATCAACTTCATAATAACTGTAAACAGGGTATATAAACAAGTCAAACATTGGACCTCATCAAAAAAAAAAAAAAAAAAAGAGGTCTAATCTGATTGGTTAAGGAAGGTACAGTCAGAATTTCATATAAACATAGCTAATAGTTTCACTTTCACTTTCACTTCAAAACTATTTTCAGGTCAGGTCATCTAGGCGAAACCCATGCACGGCGTTATCGGGGTTTCATTACTGGATGAAAAACCGATAATGAGTTTTACCGATATTACATAATTAAGTAATCATCATCCGATAATGAGTTTTACATAATTAAGTAATCATCGGCCGATAATATCAGTTGGCCGATAATATTGGACATTCCTAATTATCAGTAATAGGTTGATGAGTCTACACATTTACTTAGAGCAGGACCAAGAGAACATCTCGAGAAATTTGAGCTAAATTTATATCATTTCAATAAAGAGGAAAAAAAAATCTCAGAATAATCTTGACCTGTTCCTCCAGGAATTCAAATGCATTTGAATCAGTCTGTACCTAATAAAGTGGCCAGTGTGTGTGTTACATGAACATCTGATCTCCTCTCTCCAGCGTAGGCTGGACCGAACGATCCGCTCTCCAAGCTCTGAGGGAACAACTGTTCGTCCACACGTCACATCTCATCGCTGCGTTTCAGGAGTTTGATCCAAACCACACAGGTGTGTCAGAGTCCCAGAGTCAGAGGGACAGGACAGTCTGGTTGGATCGTTTCATAATGTCTTTGTCTCAGGTATGGTTTCTCTCAGGGACTGGGCCAGCGCCACAGAGAGTGTACTGAAGCTGGGTCTGCCCTGGAGAGTTCTGCGGCCACAGCTCGTCAGCAGCACCTGCAGTGGCATGGTGGACTACCAGCAGTGGATCAGGGAGCTCACCATCACCAAGCCCAACCTGGAGGTCCA